TGGCTGCTGTCCTCCTGGGTGCCCTGTCAGTTTGATGTTGACAGATTGAAACTATCTAAAGAAGATTACGTGCCTTGGTTTAGATCGGAGGGTGAATCACAACACTATCTTGCTCTTTCAAAGCATTCGGCAGGACGGCTAACTGCCATAAGCGAAGCAAGCGCAGTCTGAACTGAATCCCTTCTCTCTGCATCCACTAATCCTCTTTTGCACTTGATCAATCATGAGCTTGGCCAAACCCAATCACAGAACACACTGCAAAGAAACTGAAAATAGAGAGGAAAAATGTGTCTGTCCAACCAAAATCCCCCTTGAGGATGTTTCAGTCACAACCAGTTTGCACCGGCTATAATAGGCAGTGTTGAACAGATGTTTCATAAGGATAGGAAGATGTTTTCATTTCATTTATTAGGTTAATATAATGTAATCCAATAGCAACAGCAGCACATTTAGGTGTAATTTTTACTCTCACCAGCAAGAGTTTTAAGCAGTTTTATTATTTACAAAGGATAATACAAGTTTCACGGAACATAATGCAGCCTGAATAGGAAAAGAACTGACAAAGAAAAAGGGAGACATGAAGGATAAAGATAACAAGACAATAAGCAATGACTGAAGAGAATAAATCAACAGGACCATTTGGTGCTTTCAGTCATGTCAGAAGGATTGTATTTACGAGTTGAGCTCACATCACCTAAAGTCACCATTACCAGTGGAGTGGGAAAATCAATACTTTCTTTAAACCCAAACTGACCAATCCTACCTTAGCAACTGTTACCGTCTACCATCTTATCAGACTTGTATTAGAAAATCTGAAAAATCTAGACTTTACAAGATCTGTGTGTTTAGACAATTTTAAATGCAATTATATGTAAATTATTCCAAAACACACTAACACATTATTGCTAAGTCATTCTAAGATTTCTAATCCTATTTTGCCAGTTTCTAAGAAAATTTTGCGGAAATTCTCACAGTTATAACCAAGAAAGTGAAGAATAGCAATAATGCCAGAAAATACCAAACAACATTTCTTCCTTTCTCATTTTCTTGATTCTCTGTGGCAGCTCGATAATTAAAAAAAAAAAAAATACACAGAGCACTTCATTATTTTGCATTAGGGCTTGAAAAGCTTCCTGCATGGAAATGAAAAAAAAAGAGCAAATATAAAAATTACTACGTTTTCCAAACTCATAACTTCCCAGGAGAACTTGAACGCAGCACATAACTAAACAATACACACCTGAGAACAACAACCTAGACAATCACCATCTGAATTGCGATCTTCCCAATTTTGAGATGTACTATTGAGAATATCCAGACTGGAACAAGCCTATGGACTTATCTATTTGCACAATTTAAAACACAGTATTGCATTAAATAATCAGTTGTCAAAATAATCATTAAACTTAAAACAAATTGCATAGTCTTCACTGTATAAATTAAATATACATTGATTCTTATTAAAACTACTAAAGTTATTCAGTTAAAAGCAGTGAGGGATTTTGTCTTTGTCTTTTGTTTAACATTAATGACACAGATAGCAGCAGGTATTAGGCTTAAAGACGGAATGCATGGATCTAATATAATGATGCATACGATTTCTTTCCCAACTGTTTATTCACTTAAGACATAACGGACTGTCTTTTCTTTATGTAAACACTCGCCAAGACGGCCATTTTGACATATTTTTGTGTATATTTGACTGCTGAGGTGCACGCACAAAAAGTACACTTTGCTCATCCATATTCCGCTCCGTCTTGCCGCGGGCACACAGAAAGTGCATGAGGATCGATTTCTTTCACAGTTTAATGCCCTTTTAATAACTCTTAATTTTTTATTTAAAAGCATGTCCCGCAGTAGACTGCATTTCATGACAGTCATGACTCGCATTACATGTTTTGACTGGTTTGGACGTTAAGTTTAGGCTTTTAAGAAGGGGCGAAAGCACACCGCTTTAAAGGAAAGGAATGGCATGCGGCACAAAGATCATTTTAGCTTGATTATCACGTTTTCATAATCGGAAGCCAAAATCGAAACCAAAACTATAATTTGATTCATCGCACAGCCCTACTGCCGTCGAATTGTTTTTCAAATGCATCACCACGCATGAAAGACACATGATATATATTTGGCCAGTCAGCACAGCCATCTAGTAGGCAGTCATTGCTGTATTTTAAAATGATTACGAGGTCATAAAAGATCACGATCTCTACGATTCGCTTGAAAAGTAGATCATGGACGTCTTCAGGGTCGTTCACGATATAAAATCGTCAGATCACCAACCCCTAATGGAAACAGAACATCAATACACAAAGCCATTCCATTAGACAAGTTCCCTCCCCAATTTCAAATGTAAAACACTAATCTACTACTGAACCACTGTTACAGTATTGTAATATTTCAATGAAAGTCTTCGGAGGAGGGCAGCCAGCATGCCTCCATTTCCATACATTTAAAAAATATGCCAGAAAGGGCACGAGGCAGCACAGCAGGACACGCCAGCACGTTTTGCATTTTTGTCTCCATCTGTGTGCAAATTCTTCCATTATTGCTTGATTTGTAAGACCAAGGGCAGTAACACATTTCATCATTTCCCACCTACTGACGCTGCTGTGCTCTGAATAAAGTACAAGGCCAGAGAAATACAGCGGAAAGCAGCAGAATCAGTGTTCTGCAAAACAGTAACACTAATTTAGTCAACGAGAACAAATAACATTTCAAGTTACATACAGTGTCATAATGACATGCAGTCTGTGAGAAACACTTTCTGCTCCAACTGAAAAAAAGAGTGCGACAAAAATTCAAATCTAAAAATCGGAAAAAACGTATATATACCGATTCATCAAATATCATCAAATCATCAGAGTGCACACCAGTGTTCCCGTGATCGTATTCTCCATTTCGAAAACTCATATGAACTAGATCATTTTAATGATTCAGTCAAAAGATTCACAAAGTATCTTCAAACTCACTCATGAGTAAACGGTTGGACTCAGAGGAAAAGTGTAAAGCTGCTACTGAATCGTTACTGAGTTCACAACTGAGTTCCCTCACTGAATCATCGATTATGGGTTATCCCAGCATTTTTAAGGTATACTTCAGGTTTGACTTCGATTGGATGGCATGTTGGAACCATAATCAACACAGCGATTTATTTTCAGGTTTCCCTGTAAATATATTATTTAAATATTTATAAAATATTATATTTATATGGCACAAATACAATCAGGATCACTAGAGTGACAACAACAAATTGTAGCATATTTATTTATACTAAATACATCAACAACAATAATTAAAAACTTAAATCATCATAGTCTATATACAAAAAAATACTAAATATCTAAAAATGACTCTCAAAAATAAACACTAAACATCAATAATAATCAAAAACAAGATACCGGTAGTTATAACTTAAATTATCATTGTCTAAAAATTCCCTTGGCTACAACTACAATCTATCAGATTTAGATAAATTGTTACCCTAAAATTAAAATTCATGTCTCATTTCTTTCTAAATGCACGTCTCTGTGCCCCTCCCCTCCCATCCATCAAGACTGTGATTTGTCTTTGCTCAGAAATCATCCATCGAGCCTCTACGATTACCCGATGTTGACAGACAGAAGAAGAGACACAACAGAAGACTCAATCCTTTTCTGCCTTCACAAAGAGCCTCCTCAGTCTGACCCCACCCTACGCTGCCTCGAGTAAACCAGTACAGGTTGCCAGTACATCTCTGCCCAGTCCTGCCCTTCAAAAAAAAAAGAAAAGCCACAGTGCTAAAAGATTGTATTTTTCCTCCACATAATCCTCATGAAATATTCTTGCAAGTAAAGATGATGAATACATGATGAGAAGTGAGGTGTTTGTGCAGCCATACCGCTCTGTGATCCTTCCTCCACCCCATCACATCTTCAAAGACATTTCCCACGATACTGCAACCCTACACCAACCCCATCGCCAACACAGGTCCTCTGAGCACAGCAGCATGTGCTGGCCCCTCCCCCACACAGCTCTTATTGCATCCTCACACTTTATTATACGGCACAAGGCCAGGCGCATGTCATTGGTAAGCGGTTGGACACTTTTGTCATAAATACACAATGAAGATAAATACAGACAACAGATGAGTGTTAGCCACGGTTGTACGCTACTCAGAACTGAATTTTGAATGCTTTTTAAGTTACAATCAATCAACTCAATTTGAATCGAGGTAGCAAACAGAAAGCAGAATTGCAATTTAATATTATGGAAGTAGAAATCAAATGTAAGTGTCTTTTTTTTTTTACTAAAGGGAAATTTGTCGGCTCGAATGATGGCTTGACAAATCTTGTGTGAAGTTTATAAAATAGAGCTTACAGGTAGACAAAGAGATCTGTTTGAAATGTCACCATAGAAATTTGCATTCAATTTATATACACTGCTGTTTAAATGTTTGGAGCTAAGAAATAAAAGAAACTGAAAGAAATTAACACTTTTAATCAGCAAGGATGCATTAAATTGTTCAAAAGTCTTATTCGTCAAAGAATCCTGAAAGAATTTATCAGTTTCCACAAAATTATTATGTTTTAAATTTTAATAATATTTCACAATATTACTGTTTTTACTGTATTTTTGATCAAATAATGAGCATAAGACTTCTTTCAAAAACATGAAAAATTCTTAATCATCCCAAACTTTTGACCAAATATATAAATGATGCGCAACTTTCTGCAGTTATGTTTAATAAATCCATGGGCCAGAGTAGAAGAACACTTCATTCCCCATGCCATTATCTGTTGAATTTCCTCTAAATCAGTTCCACTTCCTGTTATTTCCACAGACTTTCACAAACTTCGCCTACCATAACATTTTATCGTGTTTGAAAACAATTCATTCAAACTCAGCGCAGGAAAATGCTAAAAGAAAAGGCTTGAATATGATGCTCAAAACCAGGGAGACATCCATCTGTCATGATTGCTGTTTGCACAGAGAACATTCTCATTTTAAAAGACACTTACCGATTGTTGTGGGGTGAAGAATATCTCTCAGGCACAAAACTAGAAGAGAAAAACAAAGAGATGAATGAGAACATCACGACTGCACAAATAGAACACTCCAATCTGTCCTCGCCTGCTAAAGTCCTAAGCATTTTGTTCATAAAATAGTATGATTAATATTGTTTCCAATGGGAGAACCTTAGCTTCAGTGATGTTTTTAAAATGACAACTGAATAAGTCAAACGCATTGTATTAAAGACACATACAAACCCATGCACGCAACTGAGTCACTATGATAGTTAATGGTCACATCATAAGTGAAAAAAGACAGCTGCGAGTTTGATTGACACATGTCTGTGACATCTAGTGTTTAAAGGAAAACAGGAAGCTCGTTTTCACTGGCATGTCTCACACTTTGAGTCTGTTTGGTGCCGAGAGTTGATTTGCGTGCCATGATTACTGAGCACCATCTCACAAAGAGGCTGATTCAATCAACAGTGGCACTGCTCTGGCACACTCTAAAGAGGGAGGAGGAGAAACAGAGACGTCCCATCCGAGACAACTGATGCAGAGCAGATTCTCCGTCTTTTCTCTCCTCCTGACAGTGTCGCTTGTTCTCTAGTGCGGGTGCTTCTACACGAGCAGATGTTTTCCATTAGATAAGACTGATAATGACACCTCACATGTCCCCCACAGACTTAGGTGACTTTGGCAGTAATTTGTACACCTAATTGTAGAAGTGTCCTATAAATTTGTCTATTTCCTAAGGGACATGCGTCTTCCAGATGGACCGAGACAAACAAGATCAGATCTGATGTGAAGTGACGCTGTCGCACCCTATTTTCTGCACCTGCCCCAAACACAATGAGGAGAACATTCCCAAAAAGCTATAATCAACTGAGAAAAACGAGAACATCTTTATTTAACCAATAGAGAGCTCCCAAGGAACTAAAGGCTTTGAGGAGTAATGATTCATATAGCATGAGTTGTTGAGGGAAATAGGAAAAATTACGAGTTGTTTGCACAATTGCACATCTTTTTGACATCTTGCTGGCAGATGCTGCTCTTTCAAATGCAGTTCAACAGCTACTGGTAAATCCACAGTGATAAGCAGAGTAAGAGGATTCAGCTCTATGGACAGATGGAAGGGGAAATATGTGCACACTTTCTTTGCATTTTGAGGGAATACTTCACCCAAAAATGAAAGTTCTGTCATCATTGACATTCATGTTTTACAAAACCTGTTCTCTCTTCCGAGGAACACAATAGGAACACAAACATTTTACAGACTGACGATGCTGCTTATTTCCATACAATGAAAGATACTCATACTCACACAGGCTGTATTTATTTGATCAAAAATACAGTATAAAGTGTATTATTGCAAAACATTACAATTTAAAATAGCTTAATATAATTAGATATTAATATTAATTGTATAATATAACATAAAACGTACTTATTGCTTTGATGGATCCTGAATAATCAACCATCACTCCAGTCTTCTGTGTCACATGATCATTCAGAAATCACTCTAATAAGCTGATTTGCTGCTCAAGAAACATTGTTTTATTATTAATGTTGAAGAAAGTCTGCTTCCTATTTTTGTGGAAACCGTAATAAAAAAATTTAAAGGAAACTTTGATGAATAGAAAGTCCAAATGAACAGCATTTATTTGAAACATAAGTCTTTTGTAACATTATAAATGTCTTACTGTCACTTTTGAACAATTTAATGCATCCTTGCTGAATAAAAGTATTAAAATCGACAACGGACTGGTATATATCTAAAATAGCCTATACTGTATGATTATGGAGCCGTAATCATAACACAAGTAGGTTTGAAATAATAATGAGGGTGAGCAAATTAAGAAACAAAAATGTCAAATTTTGAGTGAACTATCCCTTTAACACTTACACACTTTTTCATAGACTTCCGTCACCATCTTTTTTTGTCTCTCCCTTACAAAGCTGTACCCTGAAAGCCATTTTGATAAAAGCTGCCATCTGTGGCGGAAGCAGGGTCTAATTTTCCAGCCAAATCCTGTCAAATGGCAGTGGCCGTGCTGCATGCCTACAGAGCAGTGTGGCTCAAATCCCCTCTCCACCCCTGCAGACCTGCGTTATGAGCACAGAAGGACAGAATGTAGGCACTGATGTCAGCATAATGCTCCATCGGGGAGGCTACCTGAGAAACACCACAAGAAGAATGAAAAGGACGAGGAGGTGGACAGGATACGTGAGCTGAGAGATGCTCTTGCCATCCATCCATCACTGGCCTTTGATTACACGGGGAAATCGGTCCTTGTCAAGACACCATGACATGCCTAGCTCTGCCCAAAAAGCCTTAATAGCTCAACTGTACTCAAAAGCAGGCCGCAATGAAATGCATTTACTTACCACACCCCTGTTGTCTGAGCCTGTTTTGTTGTTAAAGGGATAGTTTACCGGTAACTAAAAAAAAAAAAAATTGCCATAATTTACTCACCCTCAAGGTTGTTCTGATCCTGTATGACTTTTATTTATTTATTGGGACACAAAGTGTGAATTTTTAAAGAATATTCTGACTACAAAAGGAAAGTGAATGAGGACTCGTGTTGCCAGGCTTCAAAAAGGACTTCCAAAAGTGTCCATATGACTTGTTATTCCCTATATTCCAAGTCTCCTGAAGTCATATGATAGCTTTGTGTGACATACAGACTGAAAATTAATTGTTATTCACTGATAAACTTCAGTGGACTGTTAACTGACTAAATCATTGAATCAATGACACATTTAGATCAGAAGAAATTATTAATTGAAAAGAATATTCATTCATTTATTCATTCAAAAAGGATGATTAGTTCACAAATCAGACACCATAACTCATGTTCCAAAGAGAGCTAGAGCAGATGTCAAGACAAAAATACAACACACATGACTGTTTAAAGGGTTAGTTCACCCAAACCTCCCCCCCCCCCCCAAAGCATCTTTTTCAGCGATTTTTGTGTGAGCATTTCAGTGAACACCCCTGACCACTCGGTGAGTTTCACGTCTTTCTAAATTAAAGTTTAATGCGTTTTAAGAAGGATTGTTTCTGTGCACCTATGCAACCATTGTAGAGGTGGGGGGGTGCAACCACAGAAACGTCTCGGTTACGGATGTAACCCTCGTTCCCTGAGTAGGGAACGGAGACGTTCCGTCGGATGACGACGAATGGGGTTTCGCTTAGAAAGCCTATCGACTTCGAGTATACAAAACGAGCCAATGGCAAGCAAATGCCATGGGTCTGCGGAATTTGCATGGCGCAACTCCGCCCCACCTCGTGGGAATAAAAGGAGAAAGCCGGCAATATGCAGATATGTTTCTTTGCTGAGGAGCCAAGACTGAACTCGGCTGTTCCAGCGGTACAGCGGAAGTGGCAGGCAGACGGAACGTCTCCGTTCCCTACTCAGGGAACGAGGGTTACATCCGTAACCGAGACGTTCCCTTTCGTTGTCACTCCGAGTTCCGTCGGATGACGACGAATGGGGATACCAGTCTAATCACGCCACCTTCTCAGCTGTCTACCAGTGCCCTGCGTAAATCTGAGATCCCTGTCGTGAACTAGCACGGACGAAGGACTCCTATTTAGCACAGGAATACCAAGGTACACTGGGGAGCATATCCCAGATTTTAGGGAAGTATGCGATTACTGCCAACCCAGAGGGGGGGGGGACTTAAGAATACACATATGACCCGAGGGATGCATATGGGGAATCACTGGGGTGTCCAGCCGCAGGTGGAATATTTCAACCCCAGGGGTGGCAAGGTGGCTTGCCGAGGGAAAGACACATGCTCAGAGAGGCTTACAGTGGAAATACACATGTGGGGGTAGCTCAGAGGAGGTACCATGCACACGGAAGGCACCTAGCCGACGCGCAGGCAATAGACACTGGCGCCAGCGTCAGCAGTGCTGGAGGAGCTCAGGGCTTTCGGGGAAGCTCACCTGAGGAAATATTGCACGTATCCAGTCCGTGGAGTGGAATGGCGAGCAAGCGAAGACACCTAACGGGTCCCATGTTAGCTTGAAAAAGACAGTACATGGGAGGAGACTGGCTCCACTCGGAGATTGTAAAATCTGGCGAATGTGTTAGGTGTCGCCCAGCCTGCAGCTCTGCAGATGTCTGTTAGCGAGGCGCCATGCGCTAAAGCCCAAGAGGACGCGACACTCCGGGTGGAGTGTGCGGTCACACCAAGGGGGCACGGTCGACCTTGCTGCTGGTATGCCAAAGCAATGGTGTCCACTATCCAGTGAGACAACCTCTGCTTGGAGAGAGCCTTTCCCTTCAGCTTCCCACCATAACAGACAAAGAGCTGGTCTGAGGTCCTGAAACACTGCGTTCTGTCTACATAGATGCGAAGAGCACGTACTGGACAGAGCAGTGCCAAGGCTGGGTCTGCCTCCTCCGGGGGCAGCGCTTGCAGGTTCACAACCTGGTCCCGGAAGGGAGTGGTAGGAACCTTGGGCACATATCGAGGCCGGGGTCTCAGGATCACGTGAGAGTAACCCGGCCCGAATTCCAAGCACGCTTCGTCAACGGAGAATGCGTGCAGGTCCCCTACCCTCTTGATGGAGGCCAGTGCAGTCAGAAGCGCTGTCTTCATTGACAGGAAGTAAGCTCGACCGACTGCAAAGGCTCAAAGGGAGCGCTGCGCAGGGCAGTTAAGCTGCGAGGTCCCAAGAGGGTACGAGAGGAGAGCGAGGAGGATTCAGTCTCCTCGCTCCTCTCAGGAACCTGACGATCAGGTCATGCTTCCCCACAGACTTACCTTCTATTGGGTCATGATGTGCGGCAATGGCGGCGACATAGACCTTGAGGGTGGAGGGAGACAGCCTTCGCTCCAACCCTTCTTGAAGAAAGGAAAGCACGACACTGATCGAACATCTCCGGGGGTCTTCTCGGTGAGAAGAGCACCAGTTGACGAAGAGGTTCCACTTCAACGCATAGACGTGTCTCGTGGACGACGCTCTAGCGGAAGTGATGGTAGCCACCACCGCTGGTGGTAGGGTACTCAAACCTGCCTCGTCCCGTCCAGGA